AGTTTTACTTTATATTTTTATTGCAGGTTTACCTGGAGATTTGGTTGGTATAGATGTAGCAAGAAATGAAGTTGAAAGATTTACTAAACATAAAAATGATAATGAAATAGTATAATTTTATTAGTTTTCTCTATACTTCCATCTTCTTTTCCCTCTTTCCTCTCCTATAACTCCCCCCCTCTCTCCTTTCCCTTTTCTTCCTTCCTTCCATCTTCTTTTTCCTTACCTATGATCACAATTAGAATCCTCATTTTCTCCGAGGAATTTCAAAATTAAATTTTCAAATTGTTTAAACTTTATCTCAGTTGTCAGTTGGTCAGCTGAACCTCATTATTAAACCATGCTTCTAGGAAAATTAAATTAATTAAGGGGACTGTAAACGTAATTTCAAGTGACCATCTCCATTAATAGAAGGAACAGCCCGATTCACAACGCTACCTTTAAAAGCTTTCTTTGTTCAAGTATGAACTATCTAGATATCATGTTTTTACTTAAGAAACCAATTATTTTCGTAGGTTCTCTACAAGGGCGATTTTTTTTTCTTGCTTCAGAAATAGTGAAGAAATTATCAGAATGAAAAACTTTTTAATCCAGAAAAACGGAGTTTCAGTTGTTTGAATCAGATCAGGGTTTCAGGGATACCGAATTGTGAATAGAGCATGCCACACTTTTTTTAAAGCATACATGTTATTGAAGTCACAAACTTTCGAAGTTTACCATTCTTGAGTTCCATTTTAATTTCTATTTTATTATGTTCAAAACTGTGTTCATGTTGTTCAGGGATTGTACCAGTTATAGTTCCCTGGGTCACCTTCATAAATATCATCGTTTTATATCTTAAGACGTGTTTAATTCTGATAATTTCAATCCTTCACACTGCAGCAAAAATCCGCAAGTCACTTTTTTAGAGACACAAATTAACGTTTTTAACTAGATAACTAAGAATCTCTTCTTCATATTTGATGAGAATAAGGTCTAAATTGGACCGTCACTATAGTTTTAGTAAAAGTACACATTTCCATATAAAGCGCCGATAAAAGGATTTATCTCTAATTGGATGATGAGATAGATAGAAAGGTAGATGTTACCACCATTCAATTTCTATTGGTTCAGAATAGACAACAAACGCATGGCTTAAACCTGATTGGATCAGGTGCTAATGGACTCAGTGCCGTTGTGATTCAGACACTATCATGGATGTATCACTTGAAATTATACGGACACAATCAGAAAATAAGAATAAAGGGAAGGGAAATGGCGCTGGTCTGGCATGAGAAAGTCAGTAGCACTGCTTTGCAGACCAGTACTTTATTACACACGTACACTCTTTTGGTACGAACACACAATATGACTACAGTCAAGGAAATTCCAGAACAATGTTGTCAATTATAATGAAGCTTGAATAACGAGTAGTTTATTGTAAACCTTAAACAAATTATAAATTCTTTACATGAAAATTTGGCTTAGATTATAATTTTGCTTATACTTTTGACTTAAATATATAAACAATATATTACATGCATATTAAACTTATTTTTAAGTAAGCAATTAACATTAAACAAATGTACTCTCCTAGACTGTACAAATACCGAGATTCTCATGTACTGTATATACAGTACACGCCTTCGGTTCGTTATCACAAACTTTTTTGGTACAGTCAAACATATATGACGTTTCCGCTCCCTGGACACAGTCCTTTTAACATTTTACATTTTTGATAGTTTCTATTCTTTATTAGGTATATGTTTGGCGTTATTATTTATAAAAAGATTGTATCTCTGCATATCAAAATATGATTTACTTTTTTTGGCTTCGCGGTCTTTTTTCCGATCAATTAAGAAAAATTTACTCAATAATAATATTTGAGATTGTTTGCTGGCTTAGTTATATGCATTCAGGGTTTTAGGAGTTTTGAAAGAGGCTCAACAAAAATCTGAGATTTCCAATTTGAATCTTTTCCTTTATAAGACAATATGTTTTTCAAATTTAACATTCTTGTCCCGATCTAAATAAAAAAATGATTTAACCTTTGAAAATTGTTCATACCCTTATTTTAAATTATGAACCATACGCTTAATAACCTTTGTTAAATAAACGTGACAATTAACTTTTAGATAATACGTACGTCGTAAATATGATTATTTAATGTAATAAACATATAATCAAAACATCATGAAAATTATAGTCTTAAATTTGAGAATTTTCACAACAAAAGTTTGTTTAAATATGAATATTAGTTCCTTATAATTTTCAACAAACACCACAGTAGGTTTTCACTCGTCATATTTATTACATGGTGTCACAATTACACTGATAAAATGGAAATTTAACCCTCCGCCCTTGGCTCTTCGACTCCGCCCTTAACTATCCAGCTCCGCCCAATAAAAAGCTCGGACTAATCACGTTAGAAACCAACTATGCAGAGAGCTACTCCAACCAGAACATTGTCAAAAATCAGTGGAAATCAGAAATAAAAATCAAAAACAATAAAAATTAGATTACCAGCAATTTTATAGAATTGTTCTTACAATTTATAATTTGTTTAATGAAGATGATCATCCCCTGGTTTTTAATAAATAGCACATTACAGATCTATCTGTATATAGGTTTAGCACTCCACACTATACAGTGGACAGTTCTGGTTGGGTAATCATTCATTTATTAGGGATAATTTATACTGGGGGGTTCAATATACATCATTCATTTATTAGGGATAATTTATACAGGGGGGTTCAATTTTTATTTATAAGGGATAATTTATACAAGGGGGTACAATATACATCATTTATTTATTAGGGATAATATATACAGGGGGGGTTCAATTTTTATTTATAAGGGATAATTTATACAGGGGGGTTACAATATACATCATTCTTTATTGGGGATAATTTTTACAGGGTGGTTCAATATACATCATTCATTTATTAGGGATAATTTTTACAGGGTGGTTTAATATACATCATTAGTTTATTAGAGATGTTTTATACAGGAGGTTTCAATATACATTTTTATTCATTGGGAATAATTTATACAGGGGGTTCAATATACATCATTTATTCAACCCCCTTTCTTTCTTATATAAGAATGTTAACAACCGTACTTCATGCATTTAATCGTGTACTGAGTGTAAACTGACACTGGGAAGGGTTTGTTTACACTCCTCCCACACTGTACAGTACTACTGCAGGGGCACTGGGTCGGGTTTGTTTACACTCCTCCCACACTGTACAGTACTGCTGCGGGGGCACTGGGTTGGGGTTGTTTACACTCCTCCCACACTGTACAGTACTGCTGCGGGGGCACTGGGTTGGGTTTGTTTACACTCATCGCACACTGTACAGTACTGCTGCGGGGGCACTGGGCTAGGTTTGTTTACATTCCTCCCACACTGTACAGTACTGCTGCGGGGGCACTGGGCTAGGTTTGTTTACATTCCTCCCACACTGTACAGTACTGCTGCGGGGGCACTGGGCTAGGTTTGTTTACATTCCTCCTATAGTGTACGGTACACAATATGCGTTGGGCGTTCCTGTATATAGTTCATTGCTTATGAGCATGGGTACTGGAAAAGGGTATCGCATTGAGGCCCGCGCACGAATGAAAGGTCGATACGGTACGGGGTGACGTCTGACGTCACTGATTAAAACTATTGGTGAAAAATTCTCAGACCGCCAAAGAAATCCCAATCACAATTATGCGTATACTCGCCTACAACAGATCTTATCCCAAGACAGTTCTAGGACCAGTGTCCACTTTGTGCCTTGTACCGGGTTATGACGTAGGTTAGCACCAAATCTAGAATTGTATGACTACCTTACCCTATTCCAGTTATTCCAGTACCCATGCTTATGAGGAAGTCCGGTGGCAGAGACTGTCCAGTGTCCACGTATGGTCAAGTAAAGTTCAATCTAAAGAGCTACAATACAGTATATCCTTTAAACGTTCATCTGAGTAGCTTGAAGAAGACGGTTATTATTTGAAACGAGATGAACCATACCATAGATTAATTATTTTAGTTAATGTATGGGAGATACATTTTGTCAATCCTACCTTGTCTTTGCTTCATAAATCCCCAAATGTAAGATTCTTTAAATGCACTGGGTCACGTGATATTTCTTCGATAGACCCTTTAATTGAAAAAAAAAACATTTTCAAACTTATCCTTTAAAAGTATAGACATTCTTACAATTGCATTTTATCGGAAATGTTTTCAATAAAAATTGTGTCTTATTAATTTTTATTAGACTTTATTCAAAAGACTGGAATGATTTCTTTCAAAGATTTAATCTAATTAAGGTTTCCCAAAATATTAACAAAAGATTTTAATTGGATTTATTTGAAAAGAACTATATTAGACAAATTGAAGAAGAAATTGTTGAACGAATGTTAATATAGATTCCTTGACTAAATAATGTACACTGTACAGAGTGTCACAACATTGTATCCAATAAACGTCAAACGGGCTGAAACGATAGGACCTAAATTTTGTATGGGACCTCGCATGGTCCTAACTAGGGAAGGTTTTTGGATGCTCAGAATTACAAAAACGTTGTATCCAAAAGCTTTTGGTGTTAAATTTTAAAAATGCGCGAACACATATTTGAAAATCCGCAAACTTTTATTGTTATTGTTCTATACTGTACAAATAGAAGATGCTAACAGAGAGCTACAATTAAAAGTAAAAAAAAGGATGGGCGCGAAGCTTACTGTATCTATGTTTTGCTTGTCTGCATTCAACAAACGTCAAATCAGCTGAACCGATCGGGAACAAAATTTTTGTTAGACCTCACATGACCACAGAACAGCAAAAAGTTGTCTCCAAAAGTTTTTGACTTTCGTAAAATTTCTAAAAATCCACGAAAAAAACAAGTTGTAAATCCTCAAAAAATTTTACTATTGGTTTATGGAAGATTAACCAACAATTTATATTTGAAATAGAAAATATGCGCTGATAGCCTATGCTCAATAAAATTGTTTTTGAACAAAATGTATCTACACAATTGTTTGAATAAGTTTATTATAAAATCTACACAAAGATAATACATTTTAACAAGCTGGAATGTTTCAAGGTATACTGATACAGTTCTTTAATCATGATTATAATTTTTGGTTTTACTAAAATAATTGCCAGAATTCAGAAAATAGATATTTTTAAAGAGAAGCGTTTATTCCTAAAGTCATTTTAAATTTCCTCCTTTACACGTGCATAATTATGTTATTTCAATCATATTTTGGGTCACTCCTATCAATTTTATACATAACCTAAATTTTCAGTATTTTCAACAAAAAAAATATTTATTTTGTATTATTTCATGGTTGGGTTGGGACCAGTTGGGACAATTTCTGGGCGGGCCGAACGCCGAGGCCAGGACAGACCTTCAATTTCAACAATTTTCAACAAAATTAGTATATTTTTAAGGTTAGGTTAGGTTAAGACACTTTCTGGGCCGAGCGCTAGGACAGGCTAGGGGGCCGAGCGCTGCGGCCACGAGACCAAATTTATCCATGTGTGTCTTTTTTAAAACTACCTAAATATCTATAAAACATTATGTACAAAATTGATAGGAAGGGGGGGGGGGTCTAAAAATCGTATAATAGGAAATTACTCATATTTTTAAGACATGTAGATTTTAGATATTATTACATTAAAATTCCAAACATGGATTAAAACATGAGTAGGGTTCTGCAGTACACAATTAGTACAGATAATTTTTGGCACAGTTTAAATCATAACATTATAATAACAACACAAGGTTATTAACAACGGATGAGACAATAATGACGACCTCAAACTCTTCAAATATTAAGATTTAAAGGTTGAATTTGATAGTATGCAGTGATTGATAGTAATTTAATGGCATCTTTAGCTGCAAGAAACCACTGATCAAAAAAATAAGACAACATATTTTCCATAATTTGAAGTCTTGTCCTTTGTGGGTATCCTTGTACTAAATAAACTTACATAATAAATATAATTGAAAAATATTAAGCATTTACACTCTTAACCATTGTGGTAACAAAATATAAGCCTTCAGTTATGTAAAACATCATTTCAGATGATGGGGTTAAAAAAAGGAATTTCTTAAACCGAAATACTTTTAAAAATACTGAATACCTGATAATCAAATTTAACTAACATGCTAAAATATCAGTACAGAATAATAATAAATAAAATGTACACAGGGAAATTGTTCACAGTGAGATAAATTATTGCAAAAATAAATATAAATTTTGGCACAGTAAATATCAATTGCAAATACTGGGATGGATTTCTGGGTAAAATAACTTTGCCATTGACAAGTTTGAATTTAAAAGAAACGTGCTGCAACTTACATTCAAGATAAAATACAATCTGCAACTTTCTTTTGAGATAAAATCAATATTGGTCTCTAACACTTTCATTCATTCAATTATTCAAAGCTTAGGACTAAAAATTATTACGTATTTAATAATAAACATTTTAGAATAGAATTTCAAGAAAACGGACAGTTTAAAAATAGATTTTAATTTTAGATTCAATATGGCCGCCTACACGTGCTGTATAAACTCGGGATTGAGGTATGAAAAGCCCGCGAAATCATTCTGGTCAAGGTTCATCATGAACAGTTTGTCGGTTGGGGTGAGGTCGACGTTTTCTGAAGTGAACTGTCTGTCAAAGTTTGAAACATCTTTCCGGTGTCGCTGAACAGAGAAGATTAGAAAACAACATATTTTAGTTGCACATGCAAAACTCAAACAATTTCAAGCAACATATAATTTTTTGTTATTTAACTTTTTAAATTTTTTTTAATAGATTTTCTTTCTTTTTGTTTCGCCTAATGGAACAGTAAACATAATTTCAAGTGACCCACAATGCAAAGATGACAATACCCGATTCACATTGTTACCCTCGAAACCTTCACCCGTTCAATGATGTCAAACACATTGTCGTTTTCCTAGGTTTAAAAGAAATGCGTGAGTCACTTTTATAGAGAAACCACAATTGAAAATAAACGGTTTTAAAATTAACAACATTGATATCTATTTTATACTTGATCACACAAATCAAGTCTAATTAAATAAGACTTCTAGGGGTTCTAGGGCGTCTATGACTTCCATACCAAGCTTTTAAGGTTACTGTTCTGAATCGGGCATTGTTATCTTTGCATGGAGGGTCATTTCAAGGTACGCTTACATCCTTTCAACAAAAAAACTTTAAAACAACAAAATTAAAAGAAATAAAACTGCATTCAAATTTTGTTGAAATAATATTAATGAAATCAAATCAAACTCAAATTGTAAAAATCAACCTAAAAATTGTACAATGTATATAAACTACGAATTTTCTAACAAATTATGTAAAACAAAAAAAATTTAATAAAAAATAAATGTTTAAGATGATGATGAAGAAATATACAGATTATGTAGGAATAATGGACCTAAAGACATAAAAAACATTTATCAACTACGCATTTTATCAACTACGCATTTTTGCAACGTAATCTGTAAATTTTTTCAATTATGAAAATTTAAATGTTGGTATAATTTAGTGTCATGTACCATAACTTGTTTAAAGTTTTGTAGTGTGCTGCGGTATGTGTACATCTGACTGCAGTACAGTGTAATCAGGGTTTGTGAAGGAAAACCCCGCGAACTCATTTCCCTGCAGTCATACCAGAATATTCACAAGGAACAACCAGAACATTGACCAGGAACAACTAGAATAACCAGGAGCTACCAGAATACTAACAAAGGACTACCAGAATCTTCACAAGGAACTACCAGAATACCAAGAAACTACCAGAATACCAAGGAACTACCAAAATATTGGCAAGGAACAAACAGAATATTTTATTATGTAGGAACAACAAGAATTTTAACAAGGAATAACAAGAATAACAATGAACTACCAGAATATTAACAAAGGACTACCAGAATATTCACAAGGAACCACCAGGATACTAGCAAGGAACAACCAGAATATTTAACCATGTAGGAACAACCAGAATTTTAACAAGGAGGAACCAGGATATTAACAAGGAGGAACCAGGATATTAAAAAGGAGGAACCTGAATATTAACAAGGAGGAACCAGAATATTAACAAGGAACAACCAGAATATTAACAAGGAACAACCAGAATATTAACAAGGAACAACCAGAATATTAACAAGGAACAACCAGAATATTAACAAGGAACAACCAGAATATTAACAAGGAGGAACCAGAATATTAACAAGGAACAACCAGAATAATAACAAGGAACAACCGGAAAATTAACAATGAACAACCAGAATATTAAAAAGGAACAACCAGAATATTAACAAGGAGGAACCAGAATATTAACAAGGAGGAACCAGAATATTAACAAGGAGGAACCAGAATATTAACAAGGAACAACCAGAATATTAACAAGGAACAACCAGAATATTAAAGAGGACCAACCAGAATATTAACAAGGAAAAACCAGAATATTAACAAGGAGCAGCCAGAATATTAACAAGGAACAACCAGAATATTAACAAGGAACAACCAGAACATTACAAGAGACAACCAGAAAATTAACAAGGAACTACCAGAATATTAACAAGGAACAACCAGAATATTACAAGGAACAACCAGAAAATTAACAAGGAACTACCACAATATTAACAAGGAACAACCAGAAAAATAACATGGGACTACCAAAAATCACGGATTTTTGAGTTTTGGTAAAAATATTTTCAAATTCCCTCAAACTCCACAAATTTTAAACTTAATTACCGGTATAGTGTTTTTTTACCTATATAAACAGAAAACAATGCACAGGATTAAAAACCAAATATAGGAACAGACAAGATCGTAATAAACAGTTTGAATTCAAATAGTGAACATTTTAGTAGTTTCAGACGTTAAAACGGATGTTTTACAGACAAAAAAAACACTAAAAAGATGGAAAATGCCATTCGTTTAATGTTCAGTTCAATTTCATGCTTTCAGCTCAATGTTAAATGCAATTTAAGCCAATTTGGAGTTTAAGGCTTGACAGTTAAAAACTAAATTTTATGAATTTATCTGTATATTCATGCACAGTTATCTTAAAAAAAATGATATTGTGCGTGTTATGTATTCATTTGATTTGATTATAATAATATATTAATAAAATAATATATTATTATGAATACATTAATTTATAAATCAGTTAATTCTATTAGCAGAGAGTTACAAAAAACAGATTTGTTTAATGTAATTATAAAAAGGTCTGGATAACACTCTGTACTTAACCAGATGAAAGAGAATGTTCCCAAAGGGGGGTCGGATGAAAAAGTATTGAATTTAAAACTTGAATTTTACAATTAATATTGATAAGAATTTTGAATTTGTTTTTAAGAAGTCAAATTTCATTTTAGCGAACAATGGTGTGATTGAGCTGAAAATGTGAATTTGCTAATTTTAGACTTTTTTAAAATTTTAAACAAGAAATAGATGCAGAATGTCCTTAGCATAAGGTTTATTCAGACCTTTCAAGCTTTTTGGACTTTTAAAAGGCACTAAACTGCAAAATTTAAAAACTGCATTTTGTAAAAATTTGCATTTTCGCACTTTGCACAAAATTTTATTCAAATTAAAAACTTAAAAACAACTTTTTTAAAATTCGTTTTTAAACCTATCTTCTCTTAGGGACAAAAGTCACCTTCAAAAGGTTCAAACATCTTAAATTTTAAAAACCAACCAAGTTATAAACTAAGTACACATCACGTCATTAGTATTTTATAACTTTCTTTATATACTTCGTTGCTTGCAAAAAGGGTTGACACATATTTAAAAATCACCAATAAAAATCTACACAAAATTAGCTACAAGGGTTCAGAACTTGAAACGTAAAGCAGATAAAAAGTGAAACTTTCTCTAGTTATTTTTTTCTACTTTGATTTAAGTTTGGTCTCACATTCAAAAGTTCTAAGGATGCTTAAATATCAGTTCAAAAAATAAAATATTTAAAAATTTGAAAAATTAAAAAATTTATAGTGAAATAATTCTGGAATCCTTGAGATGGTCCAGGATGTATTTAGCGGTGGCATCTGGTGGGGTCGGGGTCACTCGGAACCTCTTAAACTGGGTGTCGAAATTTTCAGCCTTCCGGGGGTCACTCTAGGTATACAGGGTCATGCGAGGTCAAAACTACATACTTAAACACAAACAAATACAGAGCGGAAAACAATTTTGAAAGGAAAAAAAACTTGTGTATGTATTTTCAACCCCGCTTTAACTACACACAAAATAATTTTGTTGGTATAAAAATAAGAAAAAAAAAATTTTTTTTTTTTACATAAAAATGTGCCAAATTAAAGCGCTGTTTTCTAAATACTTTCGTTTGATTAAAAATGTTTAGCTAAAAATTAAAAAATTAAAATTTTTCTTTTAAGTAAATACAGAACATGCAGGTTAAACATGTTTTAACTTACAATCTTTGGTTTGAAGGGAGGTTGAATCTCACGAGACTCGATCTTATCCCAGTCAATTCGCCTGAAGAAAAAATTATAATGATTAAAAAGGACGATAATAATAAGAAAGGAATGATAGAATTATGATAGAAATCATAGAATTATGATAGAATCATGATATAATTATGATAGAATTATGATAGAATTATGATAGAATTATGATAGAATCATGATATAATTATGATAGAATTATGATATAATTATGATAGAATTATGATAGAATTATGATAGAATTATGATAGAATNTATAGGGCTATGGTGGGGATGGGGAACTGACCTGAAGAATTGATGAGTACGGATATCCTCTTCTCCCTTATCCACGCATCCTAGACGCTTCCCGGGGTTCTTCGTCAAGAACTAAATATAAAAACAATCTTGAATAATATCCTCTAGTATTATCAAAACTGAAGTGCCTAGGATCCATTTGACTTTGATGCGGATCCAGGTCATGAACATCTCTTAAAGATTTACTGATTTTTTTACCAGAAGAAAAATTTTCAAATTATTTTCCCACTTTTTCGCTCATTTTTATGCTAAAACTTGATAACTCTCATAGGATAAGGACATTTTTAATAATCTTTCTTTTTTTCAACAGTTCAGACTTAGAGATTTTTTTACAGTTTTATGTTGATAGTTTAACCCTTGGATCCGGATCCGTGGATCTGCGTATGTTTGCGTTTCCGGATCCTAAGCACAGCCTAACTGGAAACCAAATTAAAGAAAAAATGTTATTTTCTTCTGAAAACCTAAAGATTGCATGGGAGCCCCCACTGAAATGTCAGATGGCCGCGGTGCTCGGCCCAGGAATGGTCTAGACTGACTTTTCAAAGTTTCAATTTTCCAGACGAAAGGAGGAAATGCTCAGAGGGGGGGGGCACAGATTTCAATTTTGTAAAAGGTTGATAAAATATTTCTCTCCCTTTCCTCTAGGGGGTGATTGTTGAAAATATATCTCCATAGCATATAGATATATAGATAGATAGATAGATAGATAGATAGATAGATAGATAGATAGATAGATAGATAGAACTATGTTGTATTGCAAATCATTTAGATCTAACCAAATATCATGATTTCCCTTTAGCAACTTCAATTTAGAAACAATTTAATAATTTACCACCTTCTAGATATCCTTACCCCCTTCTAGATATCCTTACCACCTTCTAGATATCCTTACCACCTTCTAGATATCCTTACCACCTTCTAGATATCCTTACCACCTTCTAGATATCCTTACTCCCTTTTAGATATCCTTACCACCTTCTAGATATCCTTACCACCTTCTAGATATACTTAGATATCCTTACCCCTTTCTAGATATCCTTACCACCTTCTAGATATCCTTACCACCTTCTAGATATCCTTACCACCTTCTAGATATCTTTACCCCCTTCTAGATATCCTTACCACCTTCTAGATATCCTTACCCCCTTCTAGATATCCTTACCCCCTTCTATATATCCTTACTCCCTTCTAGATATCCTTAACCTCTTCTAGATATCCTTACCCCTTTGCAAATATCCTTACCCCCTTTGAGATATCCTTACCCCCTTGCAGATTTCTTTTGCTTCTTTGCTTAATGCTTTAGGGTAGGACACTTGATGATCGGTTATAGCAGCAAACAGTTCTTCCTCATCCTCTCCTATACACAGTCATCATTCATCATTCATCATTATCATTCATTATTCATCATTCTTATTCATCATTCATCATTCATCATTCATCATTCATCTTTCCTTGGGCTACGCCATCGGGTTTATCATTAAATCCCTTCAGGGTTTAAACTTGCATTGCTATTTCTGAGAGTAAACAATACATAATCATTCATCATATGTTTATTATATTTAATAATTTTTATTATTTTCAAATCTTTCATTTCCTTATTTTATCATCAATCAAAAAAAATATTGTGAAAGTTATTGATTTTTTAAATTAGTATCTTTGGCTTCAAATTCACACACATCAATTCCATCTGTTATTGCAAGAACATGAAAATGAACTCTAACCATCAAAAGGAGGTTGCCCCACTAGCATTTCATAAAGGAGAACTCCATAGGCCCACCAGTCCACGCTCTTCCCGTAGGGTTGATAGTGGATTATCTAGAATAAGGTGTGTTATTATCATTATTTATTATCATCATTATCATCATTACCATCATTACCATCATTATCATTATTATTATTATCATCATCATTATCATCATTATCATCATTATCATCATTATCATCATTATCATCATTATTATTATCATTATTATAATTATTATTATCATTATTATTATAAGTAGCAGTATCAATATTGACTTTGTAAATTTTCTTAGGAAAGAAAAAAATATTACGGGATTTAAGATAGCAAATCATGAATGGAATTTTAAAAAAGAAAATCAGAAAAAAGGTCAAGTAAGCTTGGACGAGAAGATGCCATTAAGTAGTCATAATCAGAAAGACACAGAATTAATTTAGAATAAATCAACGACAACTTTACAATCTAATTTTAATGAAACGATAATAAAAAAAATAGCCCTAGTCCTACCAATTCCATAATGTGGTCTGTCTTAATTGTGCGTTTATATATTTAATGTCGTCTGATGAACCGGCAATTAATTCGGGATCTTTCTGGTTATGGACTGTAGAAGAATGAATAAATGAGAACATAAGTTAAAGGGAGTGTTCGCAAAAAATGAAAGGGGAAATAGGCTTAATACGATAAAAAAGCGCTTTTGATCGCTACTAATCTTACTTCTATCTGTTACGTCTATAAGGAGAAAATTGTTAAAGACGTCTCATACTGAATAACTTAGCGCCCATACAAATTCAGAAAATTGCAACATACGACTTAGACCGTAAAAAACCAATTTAATTTCAAACAAATCATTCAGATATTACAACCTAAAGTCATCGATTATCTTTCGCCACATTTGTACATAGTTTATGTTTTATAATATTTATTAATCAATTTGTTTTAAATTTGATTATTTCCCTTGTCGCTTGCGCAACTATCTCAGAATGCCGCGCACCACTCACATTTTCCGAAATCCGTTAAAACGTTTTCTAAAAAAGAATAAATATTATAAAATATAAACTATATACAAATGTGGCGAAAGATAATCAATCGATGACTAAAGGTTGTAATTCTGAATGATTTGTTTGAAATTAAATTGATTGTTTACGGTCTAAGTCGTATGTTGCAATTTCCTGAATTTGTATGGGCGCTAAGTTATTCAGTATGAGACGTCTTTAACAATTTTCTCCTTATAGACGCAACAGATAGAAGTAAGATTAGTAGCGATCAAAAGCGCTTTTTAATCGCATTTAGCCTATACCCCCTTTCATTTTTCGCGAACACTCCCTTTAAGGGAAAACTGTGATTTATAAATAGGATTAGAAAACTGGAATAAAAAAGCAGGTATAGGAAACCGAAAAAGGAAAGTAGAATTAGAAAATTCACCAACAAAAAGAAGCTGGCATAAGAAAATAGAGATAGAAATCAAATCAAATCAGAAAATGAAATAAAAGTATATAGGTTTTTGAAACGAAGGATATAAAGAGCTAGGAATATCGGAAACAAGGCTTGATCTCGATCTTTTGTTAATCTGCAGATTAATTAAATCTTTATTTGACACAGTCAGGGATTAAAGCGAGCTTTAAAAAACTTGCATGAAGAGTTCAAGCATTAGTCCTCAAATTAAAGTGTCCACAGTGATCATCGAGATCTAACGATCGGGAATATATGTGTCCAACACAAAATTTCCAGCTGAGGAAACAGAAAAAACAGAAACTGGTGATAATAAAAATTAATTGAGGAATACAGGAACAAATAATGTAAATAATGAAGACAAAGGAGACAGAATACAAATATCTAAATACCTCAGGAGCAATATAGTCAGGAGTTCCGCAAAATGTTTTGGTTGTCGCGTCATGCACAATCTTCTCCTTGCACATACCAAAATCCGCAATTTTTATATGGCCATCCTGCAGAGAGTACACATTTAGTTAATCAATCAATCATTAATTGACATTTTACATAATATTTTTTCTGGCAAAATGGGACTTGGAAGGTGGATAAAAGGGCTGTAAAGCACGATTAGAAGATTAGATAGAACAAATGTTGTTCGAAATTTTTAATAAAATGTTAGATATATCGAAAATTTGAAAGATATCCCTAACATTCTGTCTATAATTTCGAACAAACTGTGAAGGGAGGAGTCCACTAACAGTGTGGAAACCGTTCATGGTTACAAGCTGAGGGTCCATTGTAAATCTTTATGGGAGAGAAAAAAGTTAGTCTTTTTTAAACTTTATAATTCCTTTAAAGCGTTGCGTAACCTTCCCTATAAGGATGACAATTCACAACGGTACCCTTGAAACCTTTTTCTTGTCGACAATATGGAATACATAGTCGTTTTTCTAGGTTTGATTCTAAAAGTTTAAATTTGTTTTCCTGCAGTAGAAAAACCACAATTGAAAATAATCAATTTTCAAAAGTATTAACAATGCTCAAATTATTTATAAAGCATTATATGATTAGCATTTTTCTGGCTTTTGTGAGAAATTTCATTCTGTCTCAATTTGTAAAATTTGAGTGAATGAGTTCCTACCTGATCTAGTAATATATTATCTAGTTTTAGATCCCTATAAATTACTCCTTGGCTGTGGAGGAAGAAAATACCAATTGCAAAAAAAAAAACAAAAATAATTCGCGGATTTTCACAAAAAATTTCGCGGATTTTCAAAATTTTCAAAAATTTAATGAAGATCGAATTTTGATGGAGACAAATATTTGAAATTTTGATCATTCATAAACCTTCCCTGGGGTCCCTAGATGTCCCACAAAAAATTTGACGTTTTGACGTTTAAAGGATACAAACAAACAAACACCCAAACAGACACCCAGACAGACAAGCCAAATTTATATATAGATAGATTGTCATGCAATATTAACATATTTAATAAACGATAAACATACATGTAAAAAATGTTTAAAGAAAACTTATAAAAAATAAAAGATCAGAAAAACAAAGCAGTTAAGGAATATATAACAAGAAAAAAATATATCTTGATATATCTTTTTTGATATTCATAAAAAAAAGTTTTCTTTACTTTCACAATAATAATAAATTATAAACAATAAATAATAAAGAATACTATTTAAAATTCCGAGTGACTACGTCTTTTATCCATACATTTATATTTTGCTTGTCTGACTGCCTGTTTATCTTCTTTATAATAAAACAAGACATTCGGATATATGTTCCCTGTAGCCGGCCAAACGACTGGACCGAATGGGCTAACATTTTTTGTAGACACTCATGGGTAGCCTGGTTGTAACAAAGGCAAAAAATTTAAATTTTTTTCTTTTCTACAAAATTTAAATTTAAAAATTTCTTCGGGCAACGCCGGCACTTCAGCCAGTATCCAATAAATGTCGAAAAGGCTGAACCGATCGGGTCTAAAAAGTAAGTGTCAACTCACATGATACCCCAGGAAAGAGTTTTGAAAGATCGAAATTGAAAACATTTTCCTGTATAAAACTGTCGACATTTCTTAATTTTGAAAATGCACTATTTTACAAAGAAACATCGACGAAAATGTGTCGGCAACATGTTAAAACTATTACTAGAAAAGGGGGCGCGAAACACCCTTATAAAGTCTAGTTTTAAAAATGCTGATAAAGAGAAAAAAACTTACACTGCAACGGGTTCCTTGAATTTTCCACATTGTTGGATTTGGAACATTAGATCCCCTCCATTCACGTACTCCATTACAAAGTATAAACGGTCCTAGTAAACAATATTAGATCCCCTCCATTCACGTACTCCATTACAAAGTATAAACGGTCCTAGTAAACATTCAGATGTATTCTTAACAGTCCCTTTCAACACAAAAACACGACCTTTCCAAGAATATTTATGGAACAACAGTATTTTTTAAAAATATTTATTTTAAAGGCCAACTAATTTGTTAATAGAATATTTTACCTAATAAGGACGTTATCTTTTCATTATCAAACTATTTAATCCCACAAAAAATATTAATTATTTGAGTTTTTTCTCTCAAATTATATAGAAAATTCTAGAAAGTTACGCACTCTGATTTGATTTCTGTGGATAGACAATGCATTATAGAAAATTCTAGAAAGTTACACACTCTGATTTGTTTTCTATGGATAGACAATGAATTAAAGAAAATTCTAGAAAGTTACGCACTCTGATTTGTTTTCTATGAATAGACAACGAATTATAGAAAATTCTAGAAAGTTGCGCACTCCTCTGGTTTGTTTTCTATGGATAGACAATGAATTCTAGAAAATTCTAGAAATTTAGGCACTCTGATTTGTTTTCTATTGATACAGAATAAATTATAGAAAATTCTAGAAAGTTGCGCACTCTGGTTTTTTTTCTATGGATAGACAACGAATTATAGAAAATTCTAGAAAGTTACGCACTCTGGTTTGTTTTCTATGGATAGACAATGAATTATCGAAAATTCTAGAAAGTTACGCACTCTTGTTTGTTTTCTATGGATAGACAATGAATTATAGAAAATTCTAGAAAGTTACGCTCTCTCTGGTTTGTTTTCTATGGATAGACAATGAATTCTAGAAAATTCTAGAAATTTACGCACTCTGATTTGTTTTCTATGGATAGACAATGAATTATAGAAAATTCTAGAAAGTTACGCACTCTTGTTTTTTTCTATGGATAGACAATGAATGATAGAAAATTCTAGAAAGTTACGATCTCTGGTTTGTTTTCTATGGATAGACAATGAATTCTAGAAAATTCTAGAAATTTACGCACTCTGATTTGTTTTCTATGGATAGACAACGAGTTCTAGCAAATTCTAGAAAGTTACGCACTATGATTTGTTTTCTTTGGATAGACAATGAATTATAGAAAAACCTAGAAAGTTACGCACTATGATTTGTTTTCTTTGGATAGACAATGAATCATAGAAAATTCTAGAAGGATGATTTTGAGATTTATTTTTATTGGATATGAAATATTTACATAAAATTAAAGAGAGTTAAAAAATCTTTAAAATTATCGCCTGAAAAAATTTAAAATTAAAATCTTTAGGGATTTCCTGAACCCACACTTCAGTTTTGAAGTATTTAACCCTTGAAGTTTAAATAATTTAAAATTAAAATCTAGTTTATAGCATAATTTTGTTTCTAAATAGTTTACCATAGTCTGGAAGCATGAGTGGAGCTGAACCAAAAATGGAGGTTTCAGAGCCATCGCGAGCACACGCTTCTCTACCATAGTACAATCTACATCATCGTCCTGAACAGTAAACTTGGTACAGTAAACAAACATCGTCATTCATCGTTCTAAACAGTAAACTTAATACAGTTTATATCTTCATTCGTCGTCCTAAACAGTAAACTTAGTTTAGTTAATAGTACATCAACCTTTACAAAAAAGTGAAAGAAAACTAATTTCTCTACCTGAATAATAATATCTTTTTTTAAGATCTTAATCGCATAAAGCTCATCCGTCCCTTTCCTTTCAGCCAGCATAACCTTAAACAGTTTTCTTCAGTATTATCTCAATTCATTATTATTATTATTATTATTCATTATCTCAATATATATACATATAGATATATATATATAAAGTTGTAATCTCTGTTTGTCTGTCCGATCTTAACTTAGGAACCCCTGGACCGATTTGCCTCTAATTTCGATTGGGGAAATCGGAAGAGCCACGGAAATGTTCTTAGATTGGTTTTGAGATTCTAAGTTGAGTGTATCGACTTTAATAGCGAAAATTTAGTTGTCCGGTAAAATCGTTCAAGTGCGGGTAAACGGCAGGAGTAGCTTTTCGTAACCTTGGCAGTGCTGGATTCCCAAGCTAGTTATTAATATTATTACAGTAAAAAGTCAACAAACATCACAAAGATTCGACAAATATTCTTTCACACTTTCACAAAGAAGAACATCAAAAGGGACTGTAAATGAAATTTCAAGCGACAATTTACTGATAGAGTGACGTGTCCGATTAGTTCGATATCCTTAGAAGCTTTATCTGATCAATAAAGTCATATAGTTTTAATTCTAATAATTCACATACGTAGAAAATAATCTGTTTTCAAAGTTAAAAACATGGATATCAAGACAAAACTGGTTAAAACAATATTGATAAGGGTACCGTTGTGAATCGTCCAAGAAATCAATGGAGTGTCACTTAAAATTACATTATAAGTAATAAAAGTTGAAAACATTTAATATACTTAATTCATAGTTAATATTGCCCTTTTAAGAATAATATTTACCTTTCCAAAAGAACCTTTCCCTAACACCATGAGGAAATTAAAATCCTGCGCTCTAATCATATCCTTTCCTCGCATATTGTGTGGAACAAGGGGGTCCTAGGAATACAAATATTAGACTAGGGGGTCCTAGGAATAAAAATATTAGACTAGGGGGTCCTAGGAATACAAATAATTAGACTAGGGGGTCCTAGACTACAAATATTAGACTAGGGGGTCCTAGAAATACAAATATTAGCCTGGGGGGTCCTAGAAATACAAATATTAGACTAGGGGGTCCTAGAAATACAAATATTAGACTAGGGGGGTCCTGGGAATACAAATATTATACTAGGGGGTCCAAGGAATGCAAATATTAGACTATGGGGTCCTAGGGATACAAATATTAGCCTTGGGGGTCCTAGGAATACAAATATTAGCCTAGGGGGTCCTAGGAATACAAATAATAGAAGAGGGGGTCCTAGGAATATAAATATTAGACTAGGGGGTCCTAGGAATACAAATATTAGCCTAGGGGGTCCTAGGAATACATATATTAGCCTATGGGGCCCACCTAGGGGGCCCAAGGCATACAAATATTAGACTAGGGGTCCTAGGAATACCAATTTTAGCCTATGGGGCCCACCTAGGGGGCCCAAGGAATACAAATACTACCCTTGGGGTTCCTAAGAATACAAACATAATGATAAGGGGCCCTAGGAATATAAATATTAAACCAAGGGCTCCAAGGACTACAAATATTAGGGGGGGGGGGGGGGTTGCTAAAAACAAATATTAATCTTAAACAGAATTTTCAAAGTTTATTTTTAATTTCGTGCTCAAAGTTATTTCCCCAGATACAAAGATGGAGTAAATTTGACAAATTTATCTTTCTGGGAAGAAACTTTTAAACTTTCATTATTTAGTAAGAAGAAAATATATTCTCATGTTCTTGAAAACTAAAAGAGAGATTTAATCAACCAATTTCAAATTTTCAATATTTTTATTTCCATTTTAATGAAAGTAAAGTAGCTATAAAAGGATAAAGCAAATCTTAAAGATAATAAGATTAGAAAAAGATACTTGACACAACACTAAGAGACAGTATTAGGCATGGAGAAGGAGAAAGATACTAATTAATGGAAGTAAGAAAGGAAAAATAGAAATCAATTAATGGAAGATATAAGAAAGAAAAAAGAGATACTAATAAATGGAAGATTAGAAGGAAAAAAAAAACACTAATTAATAGAAGACAAGAAAGAAAAAAAGATACAAATTAATGGAAGATAAGAAAGGAAAAAGAGATACTAATTAATGGAAGCTAAGAAAGGAAAAGGAGATACTAATTAATGGAAGATAAGAAAGGAAAAAGAGATACTTCCAATAAAGTAAAAAGAGAAAAAGAGAAAACTAGAGGAGAAGAGAAGGAAAAACGAAACACTAAAAGTAGATCATAATCGAAAACGCGGCACTAAGAATGAGAAGCGAGACACTTAAAGAAGATAATAATGGAAAACAAGACACTAAGAGAAGATAAGACTGGAAAAGGAGACACAACGAGAAGATATGAATGGAAAGCGAGACACTAAGCGAAGATAAGAATGGAAAACGAGACACTAAGAGAAAATAAAAATTGAAAGTGAGACACTTAGAAGATAAGAATGGAAAGCGAGTCACTAAGCGAAGATAAGAATGGAAAGTGAAACACTAAGAGAAGATAAGAATGGAAAACGAGACATTTATGGGAAATAAAAATTGAAAGCGAGACACGAAAAGAAGATAAGAATGGAAAGCGAGACACTAAGAGAAGAAAAAGAGACAGTATAAATTAAAACTTAGGAAAAAGGAAAAGGAATGTGAGAAGATTAGTGAAGTGTTTTGTTACACCAACAATAGGATTTTGATTTTGCAGGTCACAATATCCTTTTCAGTTCTCTTCTATTCTCATCTAATCAAACTAGTCTTCAAACAAGAAAAAGAGAATCAAGAAATAGAATGCCAATCAACACCGGGGATAGTTGGATAGATAGACAGATAATAAAATAGATTCAGGTATTTATAGATACAGTGTGTTCCTTTAAACATGAAAACAGTAATGCCACTAAATCGTTCCAATGCTGATCCGATCCTTCTTGGACTATAATATTACAATCAGTGTTATCATCAAGGGATTTTCAAAATGTGAACTGCCTCTTGCAATCATTCAAAACTTATTGAGGTGCGTATTATGTTCGAATTTAATTTGTCAAAAAATTGGCTGAATTTTAAAGTTTTCCTAATTTTTAGATAATCAAAAGGAAGGCTGCATACGTGCATAATGCGCATTTTCTAATTGTAATCCTGTTTTTTTATAACCAAAATTCGAGGAAGATTTAATGTTGTCTTATTTTTTCTTTATTTAGGGCACCCGGTAGATAGAAATTGTAAAAAAATATTTTTTAATGATATATTTATTAAATTTCCATATGTTTGTGTCTTAGACATGGCTAAAAAATTATTAAATCTGTACCTGCATTACTGATCTCGCCTTAGTCTCAGACTGGCGCTAAAATAAGATTTATTTTTAATTTTGATCAAATTTTAATCTAAATGATCGGACAGGATAAAAGTTAACGGAGGGAATTTATTTTAGGTTTAAAACCTAAATATATTGCCTGCATAATGTGAAATTCATTTACAATGAACATTTTCTAAAAGAGGGAAGTTGTGCCTCACAAACTTGGATCCCGCCCAAATCATATTAAGTACACTGTACTCTGTACTTTGTAATATGTACACTGTACATATAGTATAAACCAAACCCAGAAGTAAGGTAGAGACATCAAGCTAATTTAATTTGAGTTGGCAACTTTTGAATCAGCGGAAATAATTTAAATTTATTTTAAAGTTTATAATTTTCTTTAACTCATCTCTCATTTATCGACCCTCATTTGTGGAGCCAGTAAGAGATGAGAAAATCAGTTAAAACTCATTTAAGCCGAAATTAATTAGTTCAGTGTATTCAAAAGTTTCCACTACTGGATAAGGTTTATTTCGAACTAAAACAATTGACTGAATTTAACTTTTAATTTTACTTTTATCAGATACATGCGACAAGTAAAAAATTGTCTATGGATTTTGTTTTAGCTGAAAATTATCCTTTTCCAGATTAAGATAGTCAAAAGAGGAGAGAAAACAACCGCTACAATTAATAATCACAAACGCAACAATTAATAATCAAAAAAATCGGAAAAAATTTATTGCCGACCAGTGTCAATAATTTGTATAGAAAAGCCTTAAATGGTCGCTGTATACAAAAACTGTTGGTGCATGCCAGACATTTTCCGCATATGTTTTTGTGCGGTACAGATAATAATGTGTTGCGGTTGCCTTCCTTCCCTCGCCATCCCCTCGCATAAACATTTCTACCTTACTCCTGATTTAACTTTTGCAAAACCAAAACTAAAAAAATAAGAGTATATTTTAATCTAATGTCAGTACAAAAACAAAAATCTTTTTAAATGATATTTCACAATAATGCAAGTAAAATAATTATTTTGAAAAAATTCGTAAAAATTAAATATTTTTTTGTAATTAAATAAAAGATTATTGTTGAAGTATATTAAATCTCTAGTCTTAAAACTTTAAAGAAACAAGTATTAAGAATACAATTTTTATAATATTTTTTAATGAATTGAGAAAAATATACATTTTTACAGTTTTTTTTATTAAGATGGACGAAATGTTAAATATAAACCTCAAACAAATTATATGAATAAATTGCTTTAAAGCTTCAAAAATCGCCGCCATCTTTTTAAGAGTAAAAACACATTAATGACAGATTTAAAATACTTTCTAGATCTTATTTTTACAGATTACAACGATGATGCATTTTTATTGATTTTCATTTTGAAGATCACAGAAACTTTTATAAAGAGTTTATTCATAGGAATAAATTTAAAAACATCATTAATCGGAAAAATGAGTCAAATTTATCTAAAATTATCAAATTAATTCCATGTTAATCTTTTGTGTTTAACATCTGGTGAAATCAACTTATTTCTAATATCTAAATTCTAAATTTAATTTTAAAATTACTAAAATAAAATTACTAAAATATTAACTATTAAATTTAGGTTTAGTGCGGTTCAAATTAAAAATATCTCCAAACATCACTCTTTTAAGATTATGTTCTGGTCGAATTCACCGTTTTAAGATAATGTTCTGGTCGAATTTTATTCCAAAATAATTTATATAAAAACAATTTCAATAAAATTCTTCGGAAAATTAAAAAAAAACTAAAATACATTTTCTTGAACGTGAATAAATCTAAACTAGTAATCTACGGATTTAAACAAATTAATTTTAAATACAAATGCTTACTATGGAACCCATGTTTTCGAAGTTCTATAATAAAATTAAATTAATTTACAATTTAATAGAATTATAATAATAATAATGATGATAATAAATAAATATTCATAAAATAATATAATGATTTCCAAGATAAACTTACTACTTCCAAAACTAAATCAATTATCATGTTTTTCGTATTCAATCAAAACAAGCTTTTAAAAAAATTATCTATTAACATTTATTTCACAAATCTGCATTTTTAACCAAAAAAATATGTTTGCAGAAAAAAACTTGTACTTTTACAGGAAGCCTGTTTTTTTTCAATTAATCATTTTTGCTGTCATTAATATTCAGAACTTTTGGAACAGTCTTAAATCAAGAAAAAAATTATGACGGTCGAAACAATTTTAAATCCCGATAAAGTAAACAATAAATCTTTTTAAAAATCTGGAAAATTTGGGATTCCCTCAGCCGAATGCAACATATACAGTGGGAACCGGAATACTGTGGAATGAATGTTGTCTTAGTTCTTCCTTTTACTCAAGAAATACCGCTAGGAATTTTGTAAAGAGAAATTGTTGATATAGATAAATTTCTAAAATTGTTGACGTTGAGGCCCTTTTTAGATACAGTTTAATAGCAAAGAAAATCCTTATAAATAAAAGACGACGACAGTTCCACTGTTTTCTGGTTTCCACTGTGGGGACCATAGTCTAGTCAACAAACCTTGCCGATCCAAAAGTCTAAACCTTAAACCATGTAGGTCGTATTTAACAAAATACATCAAACTGTCCAAATTTTTGGCTAAAATTATTTCCGGAATTTTTAATCTACTAGAAGATAAAATTTGATAAAATTGCAATGTCGGGAAATGAAAAATGTTAACATGTAAATATTTGAAGCGCAGTGTCACCAGACCCTCCACGATAAGATAGTAATGTCTGATTCTCAAAGGTACCTTTGTCTGATCAACTATGAATGAGATATTAATGTTTTAAGTTTAAAAAACTGCATGATTATATTCAATTGTAATTTCTCTTCAAAAGTGACTTGCGCATTTCTAGTGCAAAAACTTGAAGGAAATATCAAAATTAAACAGTTTTAAAAGAAGAAAAACGACAAAATCGTTGTGTATCGTGCATTGCCATCTTTGCATGAAGGGTCACTTAAAATTATACGCTTACAGTCCCATTAATATTAAATTAGATAGATAAACCCACCCAGTCCCTTTAATATTAAATTAGATAGATAAACCTACCCAGTTCCTTTAATATTAAATTTGATAGGTAAATCTACCCAGTCGCTTTAATATTAAATTAGATAGATAAACCTACCCAGTCCCTTTAATATTAAATTAGATAGATAAACCTACCCAGTCCCTTTAATATTAAATTAGATAGATAAACCTACCCAGTCCCATTAATATTAAATTAGATAGATAAACCTACCCAGTTCCTTTAATATTAAATTAGATAGATAAACCTACCCAGTTCCTTTAATATTAAATTAGATATATAAACCTACCCAGTCCCTTTAATATTAAATTAGATAGATAAATCTACCCAGTCCCTTTAATATTAAATTAGATAGATAAACCTACCCAATAAACCTACCCAGTTCCTTTAATATTAAATTAGATAGATAAACCTACCCAGTCCCTTTAATATTAAATTAGATAGATAAATCTACCCAGTCCCTTTAATATTAAATTAGATAGATAAACCTACCCAGTTCCTTTAATATTAAATTAGATAGATAAACCTACCCAGTCCCTTTAATATTAAATTAGATAGATA